GGAAAGAACGCCTCGAAGGCTGGAGGGGACTTTCCGGGACAGGAGTGATGGAGGGCAGGAGATGCAGGTCCTGTCCAAACCAGAATACATGTAGCACAGACGATTCTCCACCAAGCCACGCCGACACCTGGACTGAGGAAAGCGGAGGTCCCTCACGAGCCTCAAGCACTGTGAGCTGATGGACACTGACTGGTGAAAGCCCGCACTGCAGCTTCAGCAACCACATACTGCCGGTGCCAAACTCAGTATGAGGGGTTTGCATGCCGTTGTCATGAGGGCTCATCTTGGCACTCTGTTTGCAAGCAAGCTGTAATATATATGTACTCCAAATGGCAAAAAAAAAACAATGTAAATTGTGTCTAGTCAGAGTCCTCTCTCTGTTTTTCAGGAGTCACCAGAAGCCATCTACCATACTGTCTGGCTCTGATAAAGAGTATTCACAAGTCATTACAAAACAGGGACCCTGCCTAGAATGAACACACATGCACTTTTCCAATGAGAACACACCTCTGTCACTCTGTGTAATTATGTCTGGGTTTTATACACCACTGCTTACGAAGTCATAGCCAGAGGAGAGGACTGACGGGCTGGGTTACTGCCTACCGCCTCTCTTGGCCCCGCTCCTCAGCTCGCACCAGTCCTGCCAGACACACCACCCCTGTAGCTCTTCCCCCCCTTCCTCCCTGCTGTCCTACCTTGGTGTATCAGTAGCACCCCAGGGTCCCTGCAGGGCTCTCATGTGACACATCTGCATGGTCATTGATTTTCAGGCTCCTGTGTTAACAACACATTTGCCAGCCCCTCCCAGATGCCGCAGCACATCGTATGCACATATCCTTACCTGCTGCTGTGACAAAGGCCCTGGGCAGGCTTCTGGGGGCTTCACCTATGTCGCTTAAGTCATGCAGGGAACCGTACACATCTTTAGGCAACCTCAGAGCTGGAACAAGACCCGAGTGAAACCACAAAACTCAAATCACATTTAGAAAAACAACTATTTGTTGCTGGTCCAGTCTTGTAAACTCATTGTAGCGTCCACAGAGCACCAACCATCAGAGAGAGCTTTGCTGCACAGCGACCAAGCAGTAGGGCAAACCCTTCCCCAGCCCTTGGGGCATCCTCCCGCCACACTGTTCTCAAACTGAAGGAGAGGTATTCTTATGCAGGGTCAGCAGGTGGGTGGGTGATACTGACTTCTTTGTTCATTTTACTGCAAGGTAGCATAAAGTGTTTGTATGATAGTACACTCTAACCAGCTGTGTGGCAAGTGTGTTTGTTTCCCCTCAGTAAAAAAATTGCATTCTTACTTAAATGGAGTCAGATTAAATTGTGGTTTTTTTACTATAATTGTCCTTTGCCGTGATTTTGTTCCTTGCAAAACAAGAACTGAATAAAATTTATTTCTAGTTACCTGTATTACAAATATCTTTTTTCCTAAGTAGGAGACACAAAATATCATGGGACTTTATGTTCTCAGGAAAATAAATAATTTTTCTTTTTTTATTATTATGAAGTTCTGCTATGTCTAAATTTTGGTACCAGCTTAATTAAAACCATGAATCTACACCAGCCTTTACAGCAGCCACCTTGGGTATATTATATATAAGCACAAGACATTTTTTTCTTGTGGACATGTTATAAATTTTCCAGAAGTGGACCGCTCGTTTTAAGCCTCATAACGATAGAAATTTTAGCTTTCAGCTTTTTCATCTGACGCACATACACTGGCTGCCTACTTTTGAACAATTAACGGAGTTTGTAGACTTAATACCTGGAAATCAGATAACATTTCTGAGCAGTATTTTGATTTGCAAATTTAACATGACTCAATCCTACTAAAATTTGCATATTATTCACTGGGGTCACCACATGAATTATGCCATCTAAATTAAGTATATGCATGAGTAAATGTAAGACTCCAGCCTTAAATGAAGTCATTACTCCTTTATTTTCAAAGAAACAGTCTTTTTGTTTCATTTATTATTGTATTATGTACCATTTATATGTTATTCATATCCTTTTTCCTCTGGACGTGATTGTGATGCTCTTCCTCATATCAGGATCTTTCAGTTTAAATGGCCTCACACCATTTTCGTCTGCATCCATTCCAAGCGCTTAAATACAGAAATAAATAATTTATCTCATTTTCTATCCTGCTTTCTTACTGTGCAGGAGATGGCATTTTACTACCTTTTTAGGTTCTTCAAAACTTTTGTTGTAAAGAAACAGAAAGAGCTGAGATTTTTCATTAGTCTGGAAAACATTTGCATGGCCCTTCTTTGGCTCCTGGGAGCGTGACTTAGGGAATTTCATCTGACTCCAGTAGGTTTCTTATTCCATGTCTGCAACTTGCTCTACATCTGTTGGGAGCAACTGGAATGCATTGAGCTTGGCCTGGGGGCAAGTGAAGAAGGAGTTGAAAGCTTGTGGGTTAGAATTAAGGGACAGGCTCACACGGGTGACATTACGGTGGGTGTATACTACAGGCCACCTGACCAGGAGGAGGAGGTTGATGAGGCCTTCTACAGGCAGCTGCAAGCAGCCTCAC